ATTAGTAAGATAACAGAATTACCGACAAAATTCCAAGATCATATGTTTACAGTAACTTAGGAATTTTAACCGCTGACCGAGTTACGGACGGAAATCCTTCTGTATTTTAATGACTTTAGTTCTTTACCGATACCTCATTAGAGCAAGCGAGACTGACGGACGAACTTTGTATATTCAGAAATAGGCGTGTACTTTGTGATTAAATCTCTAAAGGAATAGTGTCAAAGTGATCAACAATGATGTGCAAAAAGCAGCTCTTCAGCGGTCTCGTCCTGGTGATGGCTCTGATCGAAAGCACCGCGACCGTCAGCTACCAAAGCCCTATTGGCAATAGCTTGAATGGCTTGAACAAAGCAGGTAATGTGTTTACAAGAATTGTCAGTATTATCTTCATTACCGACCCGTAATGGACCACTGCTGGACTAATTAAATAGTTGATATAATATCGACAACTGGGAGGTGGGTTTGAGAGGTTCTTAATGTTCAATTACGTTTTTGTATTGCATTTTTCCAACATCGTCAATTTGAAAAAGTCTAATCCGTTCGTTACCTAATACTTCAATAAGCTTGAACGATAGTAAAGTTAAACAAAATAGAAAATAATCCACATCCTTGTTTCTTAGAACCAATGACTACAAGGTCAGGTTGTATTGTAGGACCTTGATCATAATGATTGTGTCAAGAGAAAGAAGGTCGTGACTTCATGACTAAGAACTTTAAAGAAGAGTCGAATTCTTTTCAGAGACGTCATCTTAGGTAATGTAAAAATTCCCAATAACTTTCGAGATCCGTGTGGTGGGTTTTTTATTCCTTTTCGGTAACTGAAATGCCATCACGTACGCGTGAGAACAATGTAAAATCTTTATCATTGAATACAATGCATTGGACTTTTTATTTTCGAATCAACAAAGAATTTAAGGAGTGGTCTATACGACCCATCAATCAATCAATAAAAAGATGCATTCTTGAAGACACCAAAAATGAAATAAATGATTTAAAAGGCGTGATGCAACGCTGAGGATAATTTAAAGATTTTTAATGAGGACCTATTGTAAGAAAAGCGAAAGCCTAACCACATAAAAGTAAACAAAGATGTGACACTTCTTCAGTATAAAATTAATGGCAAACATGTGCTAATAAATTGACCGCAAATTCTGAATGGCATGTTGCATCAAATGCGAAAACGCACCATTTCTAACACTAACTCAAATACTTAACTGACACGAATTGATGACCTCTAACTCTACATATATATACTAATACTACTTAACGATAATGTTTGTTTATCCACAACATTTTGAAACAAGAATGGACGGAATAGTTGACCTTTGTCCGTAGTTTCTTCATATGATAGATGTACTAAATGTCAAGAAGGCATAATTTTAAACAGGTGCGATTCTTATTAGGCAATGTGCGGGTCACAAAAGAAATTTGAAGAACCCAAAAGATATTTATATGCAAGAATTTAATTAGAGTTTCATTTTAATCGATGTATGTGGGCACTCAAATATTTGGTCTCGCCCGAGGGCTACTGTTTGATTGAAATTAAAAAGATATTAAATACGTAACAGCAATTATGTCTAACTACTGTGTATGTAACGTATGTCTTCCACTCTGTTCTGTACTAGAGTTGTGCACACAATTACACTATTTGTGTTTTAGTTTCTTACAAAATACCTCAATTCACTTAATGACCATTAAACATAGTTATATGCATGTTTTAATATTTCAGTGCCTACTGACTTAAGTTTTTGACTGCCAATAGAAAAGTGTTGAACGTAAATCCTCTGCTAATGTGGATCACTGGGACCCTCATGGCGTTTAATGTGTTAATAATAAAAATGACTTTCAGTACAACATCTTGTAGACAATTTTTTTTAAGGGGGGAAAATCATCGAATGACTTCTCTCGCCTGGGTGAGGCGGGAAGGAGTGTGACTCTTACTGATTAAAAACCAACCTACTCCTGCACTTCGAGCCGGAGCCCCGGTAACGCGTTAAGTTCTCCGCGGCACCGTATCGACATTAGCCCTATTGGGCCCCGTGGTGGTCCGATGGCTCTTCGAGGCGCGCGCGCGGAACCCGACGCGCCGCTGGCTTGGAATCTTGTAGACCATGCCTACTTCGAATTTGACCCTACATATTTTATTCACATTGTAGTCTTGTCGGAAAAGTGCTAAAATTGTGAAAACTTGTTTAAAAGGTTACTTGCGTATTGAACAGTAACGCAAGATGCTAGGCCGCATTCCTACATACAAAGATTTTATTAATTTCGTCGATGACTAAGCATCCAATTTCATTTAGTTTTTAATGACATTAATCTACGCATGTTGTTTTTTAAATCAGTTTAAATGTTGATATATGTATTTCTCAAACCTTCAACTTAACTCATGGTCGTTTCAATGTTGTTTTGTTTAATTAATTCATAATACAAAGGCAAAAATAGTATTGTTATTAATAGTTGCATTCTAATTATATTTATTTATTTTGCATGTAAGTATTTTTAACTTGATTTCATTTTTTGTTAGTTGATACTGGTTTAATCAGGTTTGGCTAGTATGTAGCAGTCATTTGTACAAAGTGACTGTACATACAGTATACATGTCGCGGAGAACCTAACTGGTTACCGGGGCTCCGGCTCAAAGTGCAGGAGAAGGAACGGGGTGGTTTTTAGTCAGTAAGAGTCTGACACTCCCTCCCGCCTCACCCAGGCGGGAGCAGTCATTCAATTATTTTCCCCCCTTAAAAAACATACAATATACAATTACATACCTACTTCAAATGCAATAGAATAAACTTTACTGGTGAAAGAATGTTTTGATACATAATTAGGTTCCTTCATATTTAACAGGAAGTGACAATAAAATACTGATATTTTACTTTATTTATGTGAGACATACTAAATTAATTATTGTTTTTCGGCTTACTCACGTACTTATTTAAAACTGGTTGAGTTCCTCGTCAAATGAGTACCTACATGAGTAAGCCAAAAAAGATAATAATTGATATTTTACTTGTCACTTACAAAGACTGAACAGATTTATCCTCTCAATCACAAATCACAACGAAACTTAAAGACCAGAATAAACCGTATAATTCAAGACACAAAATACTGATAATAATCTTGCATATATTTTTTTTAACTTTACATCGAACTAGGTATAAAGTCTATTTTGGCTCGAGTTTCATTTTTTAGTAAAAAAGTGAGCTACATTTTTAACATAGCAACCGAAAAACGATCATAGCGGGTTTTTATTCATAGGCGTGTGGGTCAATTTATTACAAGCTTATTGATATCCAGCAAAAATATGCATCACTGGTCAGTAGATTAAAAAAATTGTTTTAGACAAACTCAAAAATTTAAAAATGCCTTGATTTTCTGTAGTATTAAGAATCTTAACATAAGTGGTACATCCGGAGTAGAACAATAAGCTTGTTGACCTGTATAACACGTCTTTGACACTTCCTATATTATATGTTACCCTAATATAAGGTGAGCCAAGGGTGTTTATGATGTTAGGTGATACTTAAATGTATTAATATCTGAGTATTTAGATGCTACATTCTAAAACTCTCATTATCACACTTAAACAATATTTATATTACAAATTCATACTTGAACAATATAAACATTTTATTGCATGGAATTATGCATTATCATCGTTCATAAAGTAATCCCTGTGATTCAAAGCATGTGGTTGCGTGTTACACATCACCTAACTACGTGATTACGTACTTCCATAGAAACTCAATCACTGTTACACAACACACGAAACAGAGCCAACAACAAACAAAACCATAACATGATAATAACACAAATAATTCTCTTACATACAAACTTTCTACATTATTAGTCGTATGTATCACTAGCTTTTACCCGCGGCTTTGCTCGCGTCACAAAAGGATAAAAAGTAGCCTATGTGACATATACCAATACATACAGCGCCATCTATACCAATACTTTTGTTTTCCCTCGGGAATATCTAATTTTTCCGGGATAAAAAGTACCCTATTATATAATCTAGACTTCTAACTTTACGTCTGCAAAAATGCAAAGCAATCGGTTTAGTAGTTACGGCGTGAAATCGGAACAAACAAACAAACTCACTTTCCGATTTATACTATAAGTAAGGATGTACTCATATAACAGAAACACTTGACGGTACTTTGTCATTATAACAAGTTTCCATAAACGTCCCATTTTCGCCCCATTACGGGACTCACGCAATCTCCACCGACCTAAACACAACACTTTATTACACATCCAAGAAGCTCGAATTACGAAATCGATAACGCATCGATTTGCCAAATCGATTATTCGATCCTTTAATATCGAATCATTAGTCAAATAAATCTCTGATCTCCTTAGTCATTAAAGTTAATTGGCAAACTGTTACATCAGATTTATTAGGGAAACGCGTGGAACGGATCACCAGAAAATATTTAAACTTGACCTTTTTATTTTTGAACTTTCAAACTAAATCAATCAATCAAAATGCTAATAATGTGTTCCTTATTAAACCTTTGATTGAGACCATTAACCATAACATTTGATTTATAATTAAAATTTTGGACAGTATTCAAATTTTACATTTTTTTGATCCAAAATTATATCACCTATTTATGGCAAAGATCTGACCTCATAAAATCAAATTATTTGTTTTCGGAAACATTCAAATTCTTGTGAATCGATTTGATTCGGTATAATTGCCTGCATTGATAGAACATCTGTCGCATTGGAGATTAAATTGATTAGATTTCCAAAATAAATCTTTTAATCCATTTATTTGATTGAATTTGGATCAATTCGGCAGACAAGGATGCGACTCGCATTTTTCAATTTCATTAATTATGCTGTCCTTTTCAATCGATTGATGTATCATTATGCTAATTTTCATTTGTCATCTTTGATGAATGGATTGACATTTCCTTGAAGAATTTGACGAAATAATTTATTATAGCGATGCACCCATTAATATAATGATGTCTTCTTGTTCGCAGAATGTTCAAGCTGTAACGATGACGACCTCGGCGTGACGCGGTGGACGATGCCTCTACTCAAATCTGGAGAGAAGAAATATTACCTCGGAATCTTCTTTAAGGTAAGAGCCCTCATTATTCGGTACATAGAGAACCGCAGACTTGTCAGATATGATCTAGTCAAGACTTCTCTTCTTACAAATAATAGGAACAACTAGATACCAAAGTACATTCAACACAGCTGCGCAGGTGTGCAATAAATAACAACATACCCAGTACTTCGCAGTCTACGCACTCATTAAATACAATCTACCAATATCTTATGCATAGTCTGTATCTACCATAAAAATATCCAGACCTCATAAAACGAATCCAACCTTATTTGATGAGGTTGATTTTATTGATGCCATCCTATTCTTCATTTAGGTATATATTTTACTTTCAAATAAAAATAAAATACTACATCATTGTGACGTGAAGTTAACTCTTCATGTTTAGCAATTATTAGCAGGTACTGTAAGCAAAGTAATGATTCCTCCCGCCCGGGGAAGGCGAGAAGGAGTGTCAGACTCTAACTGACTAAAAACCACCCCGTTCCTACTCCTGCACTTCGAACCGGAGCCCCGGTAACCCGTTAAGTCCTCCGCGGCTTTATGTAAGCAAAGTATGGCCTTAGCACAAAGCCTTCGAGCATAGTATCAAGTATGCATTATCAGTATTCAAGCCGACATAACCGCATTGTTCAGATAATATCGTTATACAATAATATTAGGTACCTGCACATTGCATTCCAACTGATTGTAGTCGTGAGACTGGTGAAAAACTTCTTCATCACCACAGTCTAACGTGAATTATGTTCATCTTCTAAATGTAGAAAGGATAATTATAATAAGATTAGTTATAGTATTTGACTGCCTCGTTGGCCGAGTGGTCGCAAATGCGGCTGTCGGACACGGGGTCTCGGGTTCGATTCCCGGGTCGAGCAAAGTATTACTGGGTTTTTAAAAAACCTCAGTATTAACGTGGAGTCTAGAAATGGGCCCGGTATATGGCAATAAGCTTACCCCATATGTCACATGGGAGTAATAACATAAATAGTGAAAAGTGGGTGTTACATTGGACAGTGGCATTAAGTGCCGTAATGTATACCTCTGCATACCCCTTCGGAAATAAAAGGCGTGATATAATGTTATGTATTATAGTAATACTTTGACATGAAAACTACATCATTTATATATGTGATAGTTACTTGTTTATTTTATAAAAGCATTCTAAGAAAACGCATCTTCAAACAACGTCAAAAATTAAATTTAAATAAAGAAGGAAATATAAATCATAAATCTTAAAGCCCAACCTGCATCATTGTGACTGCTAAATCAACTTTTAAATTTCGCAATCGGAGATTAATTAGCAAAACTTGTGAATCTGCCCAGGCGTTTCACATGGCGCGGAAGTCGTACAATTTGATGAGATTCAACCATCTGTGTGTAGTTATATCACCAATTTAGTTTAAGGAAAAAAGAAGCCGGATATTAAAAACATATCTAGACGATGGTACACCTATAATTTTGTTGCTGGTATACTATAGACGTTGGCCCACTTTATACTCGTATATTTGTAGAAACTTTATGCAATAGATGTGTTTATGATGAATGAATGGTGAACGTTACTATATCGATTGAGAGAATATCTGACTCTATAAAGGCTTTAAATTAAAAAAGTTTCACGCTACCTATTGGTAGCGTGAAACTATGGGTAGTTGCCTAAATTTTATTTTAACGACCGTCTGGTAGATTGATTTACAACATTAGACACGTATTTTTTCTTTTCTCACAAAATTAAATACTTTCGACGATATAATAATCTGAAATATCGTGTGACGTCACAATACGCTACATTTTGTAGCACTTAGTGACGTAACAACCTCCCACTACTAAACTTTACTACATTTTATCTAAGTATCGTAAATTTATATCTGGAAAAGCTAGTACAAATTAGAAACAAAGTTATTAAATTCATTATTAAACCTACTTCACGCAAAATCTTGAAGCACAATTACCTAGATTCCACTGAACATAATTAGTCATACATTCAAAAGCAAATTAACGGAATCGATTTGTCATTTGGTGCGGACGCCCGAAGGCTGCGCGTACGCATCTGTGCGATGACGACGGTGACGTAACACCGCGTGGAGTGTTGATAGATCGCAGAGCTTTCTCTTTCGCTAAATAATATACTCGTACTTGTATGGGTGTTACATGTAAGTGAAAATATATTTTAAAATTGGTTCAATTAACTGTTAATTTCTTTTTGATTATGACCGGTAACTAACGTATTAGTCCGTAACGTGTCTATCTACTGACCACAAAGTTCTGGGATTTCATTTCAATTTTTGATTTCATTATCATGATAATAAAGTCTAAAACAGGATGTTACAAGTAATTAGTAATTACATCGTATCCTTATCTAAGTTACAGTATTATAAAAGGTACAGTATTATATTTCGTTTTTGCAACGATCTCACTACACCTTTAGATTTTCCGATTGAGCAATAAGTATGTACGTAACAGGGAAATACTTAACACAAATAACTAAGTACAAGCCCTCACACTCATACATACATACATACATACCTATAACTATAACTACAATAGCCTCCTTAAACTGTCAAACACCAAGCGGTCACCGGTGACCGCGACCTATTGTTCTTTAACTCGTCGAGTACCGGTTTTATAGACACAATTAAAGAACAATAGGTCGCGGTCACCGGTGACCGCTTGGTGTTTGACAGTTTAATTGTGTCTATAAAACCGGTACTCGACGAGTTAAATTCGAGGCAAAATTTTAAATGGACAAGAAATTACGACCACAATACTTCAATCTTCAATCATAATGTCTTATAGTTCTCGTTGATCCACGACCTCCGAAGAGAAAACTTGGCCAATGAATACAAATACATTGCAAACGTGAAAATTTCTAGTTTTGTGTGTTAGTAGAAAATGAGATGTACATAACAGCAGTGGGTCAGGCAGTCTGCGTGACATAACTGACCAGTTTTATCTGAATAACTCTATAAACAACACGTCACTTCTGCAAAACGTTGTTGCACAAATGTTTTAGGTTTTTGTTGATTAGACTTTTATCATGACAAAAATACACCTGTTACTAAAAAGAGCACCCAAAATTAAAGGAGTCTAAACTAACAATCAGTTCGACTCAACAATTTACAATTTACATTTTGAATTTTAGAATCAAATGCCGAATAATACAGTAGTTTCTTAAATTTTATTTTGATGTCTGTCTGGTAGATTATTTTAAAACTTTAGCCACGTATTTTTCTTTTCTGACAAAATTCAATACTTTCGACAATATATTAATTTGAAACATCGTGTGACGTCACAGCGTGCTACATTTTACAGCACATTGTGACGTAAAGACCTCCCACGCCTAAACTTAACGCCATTTTATCTAAGTATTATAGCTTTATACAAGAAAATAATAAAGTATGTGTCTAATATTTTTTTATTATCTAACTGACAAACTAATTCGATTTTTAATTTTCTTACCCTGGCAGTTGCCAGCAGCCTGGCAGTTGGGTTGTTACCTAATTACTTTATCCATGGAATTTATTGACACCCCATTTTCATACACAAAATAATGTCAATTCCATAAAATTACTGTGTACCATAAATTTCCTGAGAAAAACCTGTCAGTCTGGAGGATAAGTAGCCTGCAGTTAAATCACAATAGAAGTACGAAATTCTTACATTGATATTATAATAAACTACTAAGTATTAACAGCGTAAACACAGAAATGGAATGGAACAGATGCTAATTTCTATACAGTATACAGCAGTACTAAGTATCAGGGGAAAGTTACGTCTAGCCCTGTCACTACTTAGAACATTTAACATGGAAGTAATAGTTAGTAGAATATGACATAAACTTTGCTTATACCGGAGGTATAAGCTTCAAGCTGGATACACAATCTCATGGCTGATTTTACCAAGAGGCAAATAGGCACTTTCCTAGTACTTATATAAATTTTTCGTCAATCAGATTATTATAGTGTTTGAGAGACTAGAAATTTAAAACTAAAGTCCGAACATTTTCCTGAAAATGGCTATTAGAAGTGAAGTTCGTAAATTTTATAATCATGTTTGCTGATGTACCACAAACTAGCCTTGCATATGACCTTTTGATGCAAATGTGAATGATGATGAATCGATATACCGTTGTCATTGATTGACATGAGTTACAAGAGGGCTTGGCCGTATTTACAACATGTTAGGACCAACATGGACGAGCAAAACAAAAGTCTTCGTAAGTACAAGTCTTTCAACGCCAGCCAATGAAAGCCTTTTTAAATAGACGAAGAATATTAAAAAGAAATGTTCAATATTAAAATACAAATGGTAATAGAAAAATATGGCGTCCAATAGCTCTTGTTTCCCTCTTTCTACTTGCACATAATAGGTAATACCTGACACAGTTTTTTTCTACATCTCTCGATCAATACGGGTAGGAATAAAAATAGGGTCCCAACAGAATACTGGCAGCGCGTTTCATTCTGGAGAACTTTTACAAAAGTAGAAAATAAATGTCGAAGCTGCTGTTATTTTCAGAATAAGACTACCGACTAAGATATTAACATAGTGCAGCTGTAATAATAGAGTGCTAAATGTAGATTATTTTTCGTTTTATTTTGAGTAATTTTATGTTTTAATTTTATACTACAAGCCTCAACTGATAAGCCTAACTTCTATGTGTAATATTAAGGGTACCTATTGATACTGCGATAAGACCGCCCATTGTACATATTTTTTTTATTTTATTTTTTATTCTTATGATATACAGTAAGTGTAAATAAATAAACAATTAGGTACTTATGTTTTCTAAAGCATTTCATTTCAATTATAGCACGAAATATCCCAACTTATAAACAAATGCTTGTCAAACCCTCAATGAGCCTACAAATACACCGCTACCCATATATTCTACCACATAGACACAACAGACACTATGACGTTCAAGGACCATTAACTCTACACCAGTCGTAAACAGGCTGCCAGGCCTGCCCTGGTAGTTACATTCATGTTTTGTTGTGCCGTAAATAGCCGGC